GCCAACTTCTACAGCGACGAGTGTCAGAAAGGCCCCTCCACAAACATCGACAGCACCCGGGAGGACAACGATATGCTTTACCGCCTGGCTACGGCAAGGCTTGCAGGAGGGCACGAGGGACTCAACTGCCGTTGACTGTACACTGGGTGCTGGGTGGAGAGCCTCGAGAAGCAAGGTACTGATGCCCCCGCAAGCGACTCGATGCGCGAAAAGCTGGCCAACCCCCGGAATAGCATGCCCAGCAAGACCACAGCCTTCAGTCTGACACCGCCTGTGCACCTCCCGACCGGGCGTGCCAAAATCGCCAACCCAACCACCGACGGCCTGCTACGCGACCTCCTTCTCACACCTGACTCGGCCAACAACCCCAGGGTGACAGGCGTGCCAAACCCCCCAACACGACCCGACGACGACCGCTTCGGCACAGATAGACTCAGGTCCGGGGTCTACAGTGCTACCTGCGACGGCTGCCCAAAGCCCAAGCTGCTATACACCTGGAAACACGGGCAGCCAGCGGTCGAGCACATCGTCTGACGACCGACTCCTGGCAGGGAGGGCGCCGAGCAGTGCAATCTACCTCCCTGGGGCAACTGGATCGACTGCTGGACGAGTGGCGAATGGAACGCGGGGTGGTACTGCGGGAATTGTCTTGCTCAAATCTTTGACGCTGCTCCATCCGTCATCAACCGCATCCCTGCGCGAGACACGCAATTGATGCATCCAGCCTCCCCCACAACACGGACATCCAAGAAGAGAAAAGAGGGCGCGGGGGGCCTCGCCCTAGCACTTGGCAAAGAAAGAGCGCAGGTACCACGCGGCGACGACGACGACTCTGGGCGCCAGTCACCATCTGAGACGTCGCCACTACCCGCACCCAATCCAGCACGAGTTGACGCAATCAAGGAAAAACTTCCGAATATCAAGATCCCGCAACTGCCAGACGTGGCCAACACCAGGCTCTACCTTTTCTTCCAGGCATGGACTGACGACAACAGCGGCACACAGGGACACACCCCAGTTCGAATGTGCCTGCACCTCAGACGTACCAACGCAGTTGCCAACGACATCTTCTACGTGCTTGCGAACCAGTACGAGGTGCCAGACAAATGGTTGGACGTCAAATGGCTCACCGTTCTGGCCTGCTCCACACTGGCCTGGACGTTCCCTCCGACGGGACTCACTACCGACGGATTGTTGCCAGGCATGGAATAGGATGGTAAAAGATGGGCCGCTGGACTGGTCGCGCAACACCTCATCGGGAAGGACGATCGGCCAAAGAAACTGCGGGTGGCACACGTCAACAAAACCCCCCACCGGGACAAAGACCTGAGGGTCCACAGCACAAACGAACTTGCTCACTGGCTGGCCAGACTTGACATCGAGGACGCCCCCGACCATGTGATACGACTGGGCAACGCTAACTTGAGAACACTGGACAGATGCATGCTCCCACGCGGGATGGGATCTCTGCGAGTTGCCCCAAACCGTACCACTGCAACATTCAGCATGTCCTTTTCAGGAGCCTAGGGAGCGAATGGCCAGGCTGGCTGATAACGCCAAGGAAAACATATTTTCCCTGTGCGATCCTGGCTCACAACGGGCACGCGACGAGGAGGAGAGGCTGGACCCTTTCATCAGCGCATTCATGAACGCCTCTCTCGGGAGGCAGCTATTTCCTGCTCACCCTGGCACGGGCCCAAGCGACAAGCCACTGTCTCAACCCGAAGGTATACGGACAGTGACAAGAAAGATCAAGAGCAGCTCAGACAGCGAGCCTGCTGCCGCCACAGATGGACACGGGGACCCTCACGGTGACGACGTGGACCACGACCCGGATAAGGTGAGCGAGGGATCTGAAGCGGACGCAGCAAACGAGCCTGAAGAAAGCCCAGCTACAAGCGATGGCCACAACACCGGGACGGCTGACGACGAAACATCCAGCGTCACGGACGACAGACCCCGCTGCCGAGGAAAGAAGATCCACCAAGCAGGGCCCCTCCAGAAGGGCAGGTGCGAGGCTGGGAGCAGAGCAGCAGACGAGGACAACGAGACGGTCCAACTCAGCACAACGCTGACGACTGGACTGACTGGTTCCTCGCGCGGATACATGGACCAGTGGAATTACGACAGGTCGTCAGACCGCCGGGCCACGCATTCTCGCAGGACATGCGCACGGGAAACGACGGGTTTTTCAATCATGGCATATGGGCACCGTTCTCCAAAAAAACACTGTCCACCAACGAGCCAAGGAAGAGCGACGGGTCCAAGATGCACAAGGCAGACTCACAACGCTCCTGTGAGTCCGACAGCGCTTTCATCCTCGGGATGCAGAAAGAGCTAGGCAGCATGTTCAGCGACCTGCGGTGTGCACATTGTACCAAAACTTGCCTCATTAACGCCCAACCGGCCTTTGACCCAGCACTGCAGCCGCCAAGCGTGCGCCGGGTTTTCCTCAACGCCTGGGGGCGTGCAAGCAACGACGTGCACCACGCCGACCATATCCTGCGCACCTGCGCCTGCTTTTGCAGCCCAACGGACAGGCCCACGGCTATCCATAACGCCTCCAGCTCAGGAGCTGCCAGCAGCAGCGGGGCCGCCGCCCCCAGGCCCCACGCAGCGGGAGAGCACCCGAGCAAGGGGAAAGGCAAGTCGAAGGACGGACCCGATTCGCTGGGCAAGGCTGGGAAAAGGAACCGTTTAACCGATAGCCCATGGAGTTCATGGCACGAGAAACAGCATCGTCAGTAATAGTGGGCGCGGGGCATCACCCAGCTTCGACGAGATACGGCTCTGTCATCACCCTGGGCATGCGGTGCGCCAGGCGACTGCACTGCGAACTCGCTTTCGTGTGCTTGCGGCGGTTAGCCGCGTTCCCGTGTTCTCCCTTCCCTCCTGCCTCCTTCGCAGTCACTGCGGCTCAATGCTGGCATCAGACTGGCAGCCCACCGTGATTGCCCCTGCCAAGCGTCCCGTTGAAGAGCGCCCGGAATGCTTCATCGACTGCACCTCCCTGAGGGCTCTTGCAGCAACTAGCGCGCGGCTAAACAAAAAAACATGCATTGCCTACACCCGCTGGCGCATATGGGACGGCGCGCTAGCTCAATGGAGGACTTCATCATCCGCGACTGCACGCTACTTCGCGGCCGAAGGAGCCCAGCTTCTCCCGGGATTCCGTGCGAAGAGCAATGGCAAAGTGGTGCCCGTGGCGGGTTTACTGAGGTAAGCTTCGATACCGAGCGCCTGGCGTGCGCGTCAGTGTACACAGGGTTGTGGTGAGCTCTCCTCCTTCTCCTTTTGCTTCAGCGGTTAGCGGACTCCCCCCCTCCTGCGCCACTGTGATTATGCATTCGGTACCGAGCGCCTGGCGCGCGCGTCAGTGAACACCGGGTTATGGTGAGCTCTCATCATTCTTCTCCTTTTGCTTCAGCGGTTAGCTGACTCCCCCGCTCCTGCGTCACTGGGATCATGTATTAATCGGGACTGGGTGGTGCAGTGCCTACTGGCTGCCTTCAGCTGGCGCCGCCCCTCCCCCCCTGCTGATGGCCGACCCAGTGGGCTCCGATGCTCGTGTCTCCTGCTTCCTATTGCCGCAGCGGCCAGCTGTCCCAACGGGTTGCCTACCGTGCCTGGCGTGCACTTCCCCTCATCTCCCTCGTTTCACCGGGTTTATCCCACGCGGCTTGGGTGGCCGCCAATACTGCTGTCCGTTGGTGCTCTGACAGCCTGAATTCCATGCATGGTTCACACTGAGAACGGACGGTCAGGTGGCCCCTGACCTGCTCCTGTCTGGTGTCGCCCCCGCTGGCGACTGGGAGGGTTCCGTGAGGTCTCGCTTCGAATTCCATACATGACCACACCGGGGATGGGCGGCCAGGTGGCCCCTGGCCTGCTCCTGCTTGGCGTCAGCCTCCACTGGAGGCCGCTTGGGTTCCGTGGGGACTTGCTACTGTGCCGTCCTCTTCGGTGCAAGGATTTCGGCATGTGTGGCTCTGGGCGCCCGTCGTCTGCTTTCTCCTTCATGGACTTCGCTTTCGACCTGTGCCACCGGGTGTACATACCAGAGGATCTGCCGTTTGCAGTCCTGTCTGTGACGAGGCTCCCCCCTCTTCACTCCGGCGCCGACACGATGCTGTTGTGTCACCTACGGCACGGATGTCGCCCTGAAGTACCTGTCGGACCTGTTCGTTTTCGTCGGGCGCTGTGCCGACTCACAACGGGTGATCGACCTCTGCGTGTTCATGGTCGCGCCGCCGCGCCATTTTGGCTGCGCCTACTTGATGGTCGCCACCGGGATACCCACGCCACCGGGTTGGGAATACCGCTCCTGGTGCACTTCTCAATGGATGCCCGCGCGCTCGCTTCGCGTGCCCCTCTCTGCGCCTGTCTTACTTTTCCGCTTTCCGCTTTTCTGCTGCCTAGTCGTGGCCCGGCTAGAGTTTGGACGCCTTTTGACCCGCTTCACGAGGACGCTGACCAAAAAGTGTCTGTGATTATGTCTTTGTGCCTGTGTATCTGTGTGACTGTGTGTCTGTGTGTATGTGCGTCTGTGTGTCTGTGTGTCCGTGTGTCTGTGTGTCTGTGCGTCTGTGTGTTTGTGTGAGTGTGTCTGTGCGTCTGTGCGCCTGTGTGGCTGCGTGTGCGTGCCTGCGTGTCTGTGTGCCTGTGTGGCTGTATGGCTGTGTGTCTGTGTGGCTGTGTGTCTGTGTGCCTGTGTGTCTGTGTGTCTGTGTGTCTGTGTGCCTGCGTCCCTGTGTGTCTGTGTGTCTGCGCGTCTGTGTGCCTCTGTGTGTCTGTGTGTATGTGTGTCTGTGTGCCTGTGGGTATGTGTGCCTGTGTGTCTGTGTGTCTGTGTCTGTGCGGTTGTGTGTCTGTGCCCCCGTGTTTCTGTGCCTCTATGCCTCTGTGTCTCTGTGTCTGTGTATCGCTGTGTCGCCGTGTCCCTGTGTCTCTGTGTTATGTGTGTCGTTGTGTCGATGTGTCGCTGCGTCCCCCGTTCGCTCCATGCGCACGTGGCCGCTGGGCGAGGTCGGCGAGCCTGCAGTCTCCTGGGTTGCGCGGGGACGGGAAGGCCAGCAGCAGGAGCAGCAGCGGGAGGGGGAGTACAGAGCACTCATTTGTAATTCCGGTCATTTGTAATTCCGGTCATTTCCAATTCCGGCCTCGAATTGCAAATGAGAGGTGCCGACGGGGAGGCATGTGCTCAAGCGCTACGCCCAACTCTCCAAGGCGTCAGGGCGCAGCTTCTGCTTATGCTCGTAAAAGATCAGAAGAATAACGGCAACAGCAACGTCGTCGCCGTTCCGTGTGACACGCAGGATTTGCGTGTCACGTCTACGCGACACGCAAATCCTGCGTGTCGCGTCGCCCGGCCGCCCCGAACGCGTTCCGGGTGACACGCAGGATTTGCGTGTCACGTTTACTTACGCGACGCCGCCCCGAGCGCGTTCCGTGTGACGTGACACGCAGGATTTGCGTGTCGCGTAGACGTGACACGCAAATCCTGCGTGTCACGTCAGTCTGAAGCCTCAAGGCCGCCGAATGACTGACACGCCGCAGGAAGAAAAGAGAAAAGGAACAGGGGAGAGGGGAAGAGGAGGCGGTGGAGGATGAAGAGAGAGGAGAAGGAGGAGGAAGAGGAGGAGGAGGATTCATCCACACGAATGCAGCCACGTACACCCCCAGAGGTGGGCGAGCCCACCTGGGGGGTGACAATGAGCTCAACAACTGCACAGCGGAGCCAAGTCAAGGGAGGAGCCACGACAGCACGCACATCACTGCACTGAAACGAGGGCGACCACGGCACATGCACGGTGACGGCGCCCACCTGGACGAGGTGAGCAACAATCAGCACAGCGCACTGGCGATAAGGACACCAGTAGCCATCATAGTGGTAGCTCAACCCAGAACAACCAACACGAAACGCAAGACAAACAAGACTGACGGGTGCTAACAGGAGCACAGCGGCACCAGCGTCGGTCAGAGCTCGACTCCGCGTCATCTGCGCCGGCAATCGAATTCTCATCTTCATCCTCGTCCACGACACCACCCATACTCACAGGACGAGGAGGCCCAAGCGAAGAGAGGTCCGACACGAAGATGTTTCTCGCGAGGGTGCAAGCCATGTAAACATGAATTAAGCGCGGTGCGCACATGGCGCATGAGTTTCTGCCTTGCACGCCGACGCCAGCCCACTCTTCACAAACTGGCCTCGGTAAAGAAACGCCCCACAGTCAGTGCACAGAAACAGCCGACTCTGTCGGTACACGAAGGGACTGCGACATTGCGTCGCAACCTGTCCGCCCTATCAAAGTTGACACGCATGGCCCCCTGGATCCCCGGACACAGGCCAGGCGGGGGAGCCGCGGACAAGCGAGAGCCCTGATAGCAGACGGAACACCTCCAGAACACACCACGGCGAACCCAAGAATGCCCCTGGACCTGCGCCTGGCCCCTTGGGTCTCTGGGTCTCATTCGAGCTCGCAATCAGACGCATCCAAGCGTGGCCACTCAAGTAAAAGAATGCAGCGGCACGGCGGCAAACAGTCTCAGCGACAGCTATCATGCGCGAAAGCTGTCTTTCGGCTTCAAGCGACGGTTTGGGGCGCTGCGCGGCGCCTACTCGCGCGGCAACATCCGCACTGCCATCGCCGAGACGACTCAAACGCACCGGGGGGTCGACCCCCTCCCCCTCGGGGCCCTGACGGGCAAAGACCTTGGACGCACTGCCGAGGAGCTGACACTTGTTGACAGACTGAAAGAAGTCAGAGCATTCGCGCTTGCACGATAGCCTCGCGGCAGCTGGAATGCTAGAGTGCTTGGCCACGGCCGAACTGTCTGAAAAATCCGGCGCGCCAGCAACAGTCCGAAAGCTGGCCTTAGGTCGGGCTGTTCCCCTACAGGCTGATGGTGGACGAGAAAAAGAAAAAAGAATGAACAAAAAAAAAACAACAAAAAAAAACAAAAAAAAAAAAAAAAAAAAAAAAAAAAAAAAAGGGGGGGGGGGTGGAAAAAAAAAAAAAAAAAAAAAAAAAAAAAAAAAAAAAAAAAAAAAAAAAAAAAAAAAAAAAAAAAAAAAAAAAAAAAAACGATATCAAAAAATTGACCCAAGACTTTTCCCAACCATCATGTGGTGTGGGGTCCTCGATGTGAAGAGACGGTCCCCGCGTTTTCTTCCTCCTCCTTCGTCCCTCTTCCTCCCCTTCCTCCCTCCTCTCCCTCCTCCTTCCTCACTGCGCTTGACCAAAAAAACAACTTTTCGTGGCCCCATGAAGAGTTCCACCGGAGGCGCCAGTGGCAGGGTTCGCATTGCGGCCTCGGGCCATTTCGGCATACCCCTCACGAGGACCGTGGCCACATAGGGAATTCCACCGAAGGCCCCAATGGCAGGGCTCGCATGGCGGTGTCGGGCCATTTCGGCACACCCCTCACGAGGACCTTGTCCCCACAGGAGCTCCACCGAAAACGTCAGTGGCAAGGTTCGGCACGGCGGCCTCGGGCCATTTCGGCACACCCCTCACGAGGATCGTGGCCCCATGAGGAACTCCACCGAAGGCCTCAGTGGCAGGGTTCGCACGGCGGCCCCGGGCCATGTCGGCACACCCCTCACAAGGATCGTGGCCCCATGAGGAACCCCACCGAAGGTCTCAATGGCAGGGTTCGCGTGGCGGCCTCAAGCCGTTTCAGCATACCCCTCACGAGGATCGTGGCCCCAAATGAGCTCCACCGATGGCGCCAGTGGCAAGGTTCGCGTGGCGTCCTCGGGCAATTTCGGCACACCCCTCACGCGGATCGTGGCCCCATACGGAACTCCACCGAAGGCCCCAGTGGCAGAGTTCGCATGGCGGCCTCGGGAAATTCCAGCACACCCGCCACGAGGATCGTGGCCCCATATGAGCTCCACCAAAGGTACCTGCAGCAAGGACCGCACGGCGGCCAAACCTTCTCTCGGCCCTGTGAACTCTGATCCTGGGCCGTCGGCTGTCCGGCGCGCTGCCCCCTCGGCCGACATCGCCCAGGCGCTATCCTGGATTGCGGCCGCCACGAGGTTGGGATCGGCAAGAAGGAGGACGACGACTGGCGGCTGGAGCTTCACGCACTGCTCTCGCGCGCCACGCGCCACGAAGACCTCCTGCTCACGCGGGCGCCGCACATCGAGTTCTCCTCGGCAGGGCCGCCGGAGAAGTTTGCGGCGCGCACGAGGCGGCGCTGGAGGGAGGCGACGGCCCTCGCCAGGGAGCGGGGCTACACGGAGTTTATCCGCGAGGCTTGACCTGAGGAGAGGCCCGCCCGAACCTCGCCGTCTCTCGACGGCCTGACTGTTTGGCCTTGCGCCGCGGACGACCCGCGCGCGTCGCTGGGGCCCTCTCGGGGCGACCAGCGCGCGTCGCGGGAACTCCATGCTGCGCTTTGCCCAGCGCCTCGCTCGCCCCCGTCGTCGGTCTGCCCAGCGGCCAGAGCCTCGCCCGCTATCAGCCAGCCAGCTAGCTCTCTCTGCTCCGCGCAGCGGACCCGCACGCGTCGCCTGGACCGATTCGGGGAGACCGGCGCGCGTCGCGGGGCCCCGCGCGCCGCCGCACCCGCGGCCTTGGACTCTGGCGTGCGCTGGCAAAGAAGGGGAAAAACCAGAAGGAAGCGGGCGCGACCCCTGCGAGAGGCGCGCCGACATGGGCGTCGGCATTCATGCACGTAGACTCACGCGCGCGCAAACTCATTCATAATCAGACTCACTCGCGCTCAGACTCACCCGCTCTCAGTCTCTCGCAAACAGACCTATCGTCGTCGTCCGCGCTGGTGCACCCCGCCACACATTTCGGCGCGCCCCTCGCACGGTTCGTGGCCACCCAAAGAGCGCGGGCGAGGATGACATTCACAATTGCGGCAGTAACAACCGCATACGGTCGGTTCCTTCGCCAGGCTAATGTGTGAAAGTTCCGCCTGCGACTTAAAGCTGGCCATGCCCAGCGCAGCGAGCCCAGCCGCTGGGGCACTCTGCGGCAGTGGACCGCGCACGGGGCCGCAGACGGAGGAGCGCAGCTGCCCTTCCTCGTCAGCGCGGCAAAATCCCCGACCCGCACGGCAGAGGTCGGCCACTGGATGCCCGAAGAAAGAACCGTCGAAGTACAAGTTGCCAGCCACGTCCCCGCTCCCACCTTCAGACTACCTACCAGACCACCCAAACCCAACCCGAAGACCCGAATTTGCCCCGAATTTCGGGTTGGGGGGGCACGGGTCCCATCTGTTTTCTGTCAGTGGAAATGGAAGGCAAATTGAAGTCTTCGGGTCGGGTTGGGGCGGTTTGGTGGGCGGTGACCTTCAGGAGAACCCCCCGATCGGATCGCCCCACCTCCCGTCGCGAGCGGGGTAGGCCAAACGGCCCCAGGGTGCTCGAACACCCCGTGACAGAAGAGCAGGCGATCTCCATCCGACAGATCGGCGAGCGCTTCGGCACGAATAGAGGCCGCACTATTTCGACCCTCTCTTCAGCACACGCAGTGCACACCCAAAAGCCCATGGTAGATACTGCCGCGTCCAATTCCACATAACGGACACACTGGACGATCGCCAGCGAGAATGTAGGCAGGAGGAGCAGTCCGATCAGGGGCCCAAACTCAAAGTTGCGGACACTACCCAACTCAAGCGGAGAAAGCTTCTTACGACGAGCCTGGCTTTTGATGATGTCCATGCAAGCCCTGTTCCATCCATCCACACACACACGCCGATTGGGTAGCTAAATTGCAATCCGTCAACCGAACACACTGTCGTCGGACACTGTCCTCGAGAAGAGCAGGCCCACGAAAGTGAGGAAAATGACAAAATCATTGTGGCCCCCGATGGTGGCGCAGTTGGGCAGGGGCCACTGAAGCCGCTCAATGAACAAGTAGGGAGCGGAGACCGGACCAGAGACATGAAACCACGCGATAAGTCGACCCCCCGGCCGTCGAAAACGACGCCCCGAGCCGCGCGAACTCTGGGGAAGAGGCATGGCATAAGTGCAAGGCACAGGCCTGCCCGCGCCACCTTGCCCCACCCGACGGCTGGCGCGACC